TACAGGAATGCTAGAATTCGCTTTGAATATAACTTAAGCCACAACATGTCTGTATATTTTTTGAAACACTATAATATTACATATGCATTTAAAAAGTTTGTCAGAAATATTGTTTCAAAGTTTAGATGGGACCACCTAGGGACTTCGAATGTCTTTGTGTATTTCTCCTACTGAAACTACTTGAATTTGTTTAGTGCTTCAACAGTACTTCTATTAGAAGCATTGGTTTTATCAAGGGCTTACTAATTTAAGGAAGGACTAATACAGTGAATAAGCGTCAAGTTTTTGACTAATACTTAAATCAAGCAGCTTAACTTCAATTTACGCAATAACAAGTTGAAAGAACAACAGTGAACCACTGCCTTATATAACCAAATGAGACTTCAATTACTTTATGAATTAGTGCGAGCTGTAAACATAAAGATGACTGTTGTGGATATCTTTCGCAAAATAATCATCGAAATATATTGTCAAGTTTGTTTGTTGTTTTATGTTGTAAAACTCCCCAGTACCAGATTCATTTATAAAAGTGTTAACCAGTGTTTTTATTCATCGGCTAGGAAAACGTCTATAAAACAAAAAATCATATTTAACCGTAAAAGCAACAGCGCAGTGTGTTATCAATAAATAATCGTCAACGTATGATGAAAAGGGTGACATATGAATGTAACCTAGTCATCAGAAAAAAGTAGATTTCTCTCACCGTTATTGCATTATTGAATATTTTGGCTGAAGCTAAAAAATATAGAAAACTTTTAGTTAAAAAAGTATAATGTAGAACTCAAACTACATTCATTGAGTGTTATGATTCTAATAAAGTTTGGTGTCTATCTCACAAATGAAGCGAATTTATTGTCTACAATTGGAATGATTTTCAGTTCAATACAGTTCTGACTTAGTATTCATTATTTTTGGTCTAATTTTTTCATAATTGTTTCTCATGGAGTTTTACTGCCCTGTCATTAATAATATTTTATGACAATGCGATGCTGATAAAAACCTTTTTATTGGCGCCAATAAATTTTCAATTAAAACAGTTTCTTTCAATGAAATTAATTTCCTTCTTTTTAGTGAATCAATGTTTTGACTAGTGTGTCTTTTAAAACAAACAAAGGAAAGGTTGGAAATATATAAAAAATATCAAGATATTACTCACTCGCTAGTTTCACTTAAGAAATGTAGACAGTTGCTAGTTACTCAATGATTTCACCAACGTTTAGGCCAATTTCAAATTATTGTCCATGGCCCGTTATAATAAGTGTATTGAAACTTGACTAACAGATTCATAAACGAATAAAGGACTATAGTCTCTCATTCTTAACTACTAAGGCATAAACATCCCAAATATAGAACATTAGAATTATTCTGTTAGTTGAATTTTGAAGCGATTCTTCAACTCTGAGAAATTTTATGTGGTTGTCGTAAAATTTAACTCGTTTCAGAAGAACATTTTAGAACATTTCATACACGGTGTTTATCAAAGAACCAAATCATTCCGCAAAATAAAAGCTAGGTAATTGTAGATAGACAACATCGGTGATCCGTGTCAATGATTGAGAGCCTATTTGAATTAAATAGAAATGGCGTGACCAACCAGCTTACTCGAAGTCACACTTCACGGTTAGTACCTAACTTGAATTACCGTTTTACCGTATCGCGGTACTATTAATGCTTTGATGACCGTACAACACAATTAACATTATAACAGAAATATATTAGCAAGAGCAGATACATGAAACAGAATGAGACCGCCGACACATATGTCACTTCATGGTATGTAAAATTGATTGATGTGCGTCGGCTATCCTCGACCTGTTCGATATTCAGTGATCTGACTGCCGGATGAATTAGCTAGTGTCATGATATTTCACTAGATTTACATAGTTTTTTCGAAGCATCTTTCTTTGACAGTACTCATACAATCAAATATTTACTCATCTGAAAACAATTTGTTCGAATATAAGACCTGGATAGGTCAAATGAGGATTGATTCATTTATTTAACGTTCCAGTAATAAGGTGGTTTTTGCAAAGATATATTTATCATTCACTAGGATTTATCTTAAATCTTTCATTCAAGAAAAGCTTTTATTATTTAAATATCAAAAAGCGAGTTTGTAAGGATTATTACCTATCCGTTGTGTTTGTACACATGAAATGAAACAAAAGTTAATAATTATTTGAAACGAGTCAAGCCGAAACTATCACTAGCCTTTAAAATCAGTGATAAAGTAGTAAAAGTGCATCTTAATCATTGAATAGGAGATTTAACCATCATGAGTTATTTTTAGTTCGTAGATTTGAAACATTTCAATTATGAGTTTCCATTTTTATTAAAACATCTTACAACATTTGAGTTATCTATAAACAATTATTTATTGAAGAAATAAGTCTGCTGAATTTTTAAGCTACTAACTCGAAATCATTTGCTTTGGTTCGGCGGTCTATCCACATCACACTTGAATCACATATGATGAGTAAACACTGTTGAATAATGCAGAAATATGTAAACAAAGGAGTTAAATTAATGCGGTTCAAATAGAAACGTAAAATGAATATACATTGATTAGTTTAGTAAGAAACATATGTAAATCTCATGTAATAACCAAAACTTTTAATGGTAAATAAACAGAGTGGAGTGGGTTTGATGAAGTAAGATTAAAATTATTATTAAATTTCTTGGCATAATAATCTAGTTACCTCTATGGATAACATTTAAAATAATGCCCGAAAAGTAATTGGGTCTGTGTTGATGAAAGCTGTATTGAATTTCGTTATGTAGAAAACGTAATTGAAACTATTTGCATAAATATTCTATTCATGATTTCTATAAATAAATTCGACTTAATTGTGTTATTTAAAAGCGAACAAGATATGATAATTCTAAAAGGGATATTTTTGATTTAGCTACTAATCCTATTCATTATCATATGGATTAGTGTTTTGAGGAAACGTTGAATAGAGAATAAAAATTGTGATTCGGTAACGAAAATCTTGTTCATCTGTGATTCGTCAATTACAATTACCAAGAAATATATACATTTATATACGTATTCAAAGACTGAAAGAATGATTATTCTTTCTTCACTATATTCCGTGATATTTGATAATGACGGTTTTGTAGGTCATTATCACGATAGTTTATTTTACTAATAGTTCATATTATTGACTGTTGATATGTCAGAATTTATAGAACAATATTCCTTCATAACCAATAACCATAATAAATCTTGAAATTGAGAATGTTTTCATTCATTTATATTAGGTATTAAAAAGCCACTTAATATAATACATTTAAAAATTCCCATTAGTCTCTAAGTAAATAGGTTCAGTGGTTTGTTTATTTATTTTCTCTAAAATGCTATTGAATTTTGAAGCAAATGAAAAAGTGATTAAACTTAGAGGACATGATAGGCTTTTCCACTTTCGATCAGAAAATGATAACGTTTCATGACTTGGAAGGTTTGGATCTCTTGTTACGCACTTTATGTTAAATTAATAAATCGACAAATGTTTGTCTTTTTGAAAAAAGTTATTCATTTTAAAGTAACCCGAACGTTGGACACATAAATCACTGAATTCCAACTCAGTAGTATATGTCCCGGTTTCCAAACGATTCATGATATTAAATTATATGAACGTATATGAATGCTAACGAATATGTAAAGACTAGGCAACTGTAAAATGCTTACTGGTTTTCAGTGATCCTTTAACTATTTTCAATTCTAAGTTTCAATTATTTGTGAAATGCAGTTGGAATCCTTTATCACGTTGTAAAGTTAGTGAATACTAAGAGTGAAAAGACCAGTAACAATCGACTGACGTATTGACAGGCAGGACTAGAAACACATCTGTATAAAAGTACATTAGTACTTTGGTCCACTTAACGTAATGTTTCATTAATTAATCCATCTCATGGTACCGCATTTTCGTGTTTAATGAGTAGATATATTGTCTAAGAGTAGTGCATAAAAACACAAAAAAATATATACTTCCCCATAAGAAAGAGTTGTAACCCTATAAAATGCAAGTACTAAGAAATTTATAAGCTGATGAAGCATAAGTAGTTATCTTATTGAATTTATTAAACTTAGTGATTTGATATTACTATTGAGTCTTGGAGTTGTCTTTAATGCATTAAATGATGTTCTTGTATATTTAATAATTACAATTTTGCTTTCCTAGTTCCTTACGTACCCCTAAGATGAATAATAAGACATTTTCAAATCTACGTACACTAAAAGAAGCTCGCTTATCATCTTCCCTTAACTTGGTTAGCCTTAGACTGAATAAGCCAATAATTATCCCATTTATAGGATGGATGAATTCGACTAATGTAAATACAAACATATTCTCATGGATTCAATTGATTTGATCTAATTGTTATTGTATGTTGCCTTAAACATATGAACAATTTATTTGATATTTACCCCATCCTACTTAATTCACATTATTTTATAGTTTACGTAATAGTTGGGCAAATAATTGATTGTGTTCGTAATTAATGTATGTTTTCTATCCCATCACTTAATTTACATTCATCCAAATTTTTAATCTCAGAATTGTAATCGACTTACAATCGTATACAATATTTACAAACGCTTACTAACATAATTATTTTAATGTCAACCCTAAAATCATTTAAGCGGTGAATTAGTTTTGAATTTGAATGTTTCATTTTGATCAATAATTTGAGTTTGTTACTGTAGAACCTAGTGAGAATTTATTCAAGGAAAACTATTCGTTCTTTTTATTATTATGAAATTATTTAAAATGAAAATAATGTTAGTAATCAAATTTGAACCCTAATGTATCATGAAAAACTACACTTTCTGACAAATAAACCACTTTTAGCTAAATTTTGATTAATTCTCATCAAAGTTAATGTTGACGAAGTTCAGTAATTCGTTGAATAATATCTGTTTATAGTATAAATTGTATACGACATTTGATCTAGTCAATCTGTGCTATTGACAAACTTCATTTGGAGAAATGAAACTTCATATTATACTTTATTTGTTTATATTCACTTTATATAATTCGTAGTTCTGAACTGAACAAATCAATTCAACTATTTTTTCAAAATCCAACATTACAAAAAGAGGTTACATAAGTTGAATAAAATTATTACTAACATTTTATATGAAACTGAAAGGGATTTTCCAATTAAAACTTTTTGCTTTCTTAAACGTAACGTAGATACTTTCAAGCCTTAGAGTGATTCAGATTTCCAATAAATTAAGGCATAAACTAAACAGTGTTGAAAACATTTTTAAAAGTCGCGCGTCAAGTAATTTTTTTTCAAATTGAAATTATTTCTGTTGGTTTATTTGCCATAGTTCGGAATCTCCATTCATATTAGTCATTCCAACGTTGAAATTTGATCGAACTACAGTTTGTGGCATCGTAAAACGCTTAATATCAGTTTCATTATGTATATATGGGTGATGTTGCTGTAATTGTTGATGTGACTGGATGTTATATGCAAGATGGTGTTGTTGTTGACGCGCGTTGTAGGTTTGAGGCTGTGGATCACTTGATATTCCTGCAGATATATCACTTTGATCGAATGAACTAGGACATTGTAGACTTGCACTTTTCTGATCTGTTCGATAAGTTCCTTCTTGATTTTGCTGATTCTGCTGTTCATAAGTAAAAGGTCTGGATTCGGAAATTAACAATTGGTCTCTAGATGTATCTTGTTCAATTTTTGAATTGATTCCACTCATATGAATATTCTTACTGACATTAGTATTATTATTTAGCTTTATATTGTTATTATGATTTTCGCTGAAACCGAATGAATTTGGCGAATTATTTATTGCACTTAAATTATTTGGTACAGATGATATAAGTCGATTACTTGAACGGGATCTAGATAATTTAGGAATGTCTGATCTTAATCGACGTGATGTCGTTAAACATCGTGTAGCGAATTTCAACTCCTTCCACATTCCACGCCAAACAGCTGTCTAAAATTGAAAATGAAAGTTTATTAGTTTATAAATAATAATGTTCCAGCATTGGTTTAATGGATTTCACAAACAACAAAATCAAAAGATAATCATATATCTTTAAACATCCAAACACTTAGTCTCTGAATAAAGAAGTTAGTGATTAACGTTTAGGTGGACGTTTATGGCGCCATGTTTGAAATTTAGATAGTATTGGAAATTTGGTGATGGTGCGTCTTAATGCCATATATTGGAATCATCAATAGTAATTTCATCCTTTAATAGTAATAGCGTTGATTTTTAAAGTAGCATCTGGACAATACAAGTAGGGCTTATGATCATTTGTGCATATTTCAGTTTGCTGAATATTGTTGGGAGTCACGAAACACTAGGCTGACTTTCTATCATTTGGTTTATGAAAGAATTACGACTCCATACACTGGATTGTGTACAATCACAGAATATCTGCTATTTTTATTCCTTTAGTTTCCATCTAAATCAGAAGGAAACCTTCAAACGCCTATATTTAAATTTAGAAAATGTATCCCAAGATTCTCCTGAATTCTCATTCTATACGGATGACATCATCATCATATCGAAATAAAGATTTCAATTAATACAGTAATTTCTATGAGAAAATGCCTTTTGACTATTTTCGTATCGAAATTCTAGTAGTCCAACTTGCGAAAGTACCTAGATTATGCTTCATGGAGAAATAAGAGATGGTATAGTACACTGCTATGAAAATACTATGACAGAATTAACTAATAAATGCTTTGTATAAATATTTCAGGACTCTAGTACATCACAAATCGATGGATTACCTTTTGCTGATCTCTTGTTGCAACTAAAAATTCAATAATCGATACGGCGAATCCCATAAAAAATCCAATCAGTAAGACAATAAATACACCACCAACTTGTTCTACACCCAATGGACTTGGAGCTTTACCTGATTCACGTAATAAAGAACATGGTTCCGTGATATTAAATTCATTCCACCAAATACGTTTTAATTTTGCCAGAATTTGAGCATTCTGTAATTTTAAAATTGATTTCGATACGGGATCCCTCCATGGTGAACCTTAAAATTATAGTTAACCAAATGGGTAAAAGCAGATGATGAATGTGTAATAGAAAAAAATCAAAGCTTATTTCGGTTAATTAAAATTGGGCGAAGTATGGTAAACTGAGTATTTTCATTTCTTCAGTTGAATTGCACTTATTATACAACAGTCGTAGTGGTGGGAAAAGTACAAACATCCTATAACTATGTTGATAAACAACTCAACATTGATCTTTCGACTTATCTTGATGGAACTATAAAAATAGTGCTCATATATAGAGTTTGTGAGAAAATGAAGTTGTGATTAACGATTTGTGAACCAACAACACGCTGTAATTTAAAACTTTAGGTAGCATCCTTTTGTAATTAGAATTAATATACGTATATATCTCATATCACATCAAAACTCTATTAGGATGTTTCTTAATGTCAACTCTCATTACCGTTGTCCCATCCGTTTTATTTATTTTTAAGGTTCCATAAAATTCCTTTACACCACTTTCTAAACCTCTTTTTTCATCAGTTAGTCTTAAAAGTTGATCGTAAATTAGCTATGATGATTTTATACTTTCTGAAATGGACAGATATTTTAATGAAAACGTCTTCCGTTTCCTGACTCAAAAAAACTTAGTCTTCATTGTTTAGAATTTTTTTTATACGAGTTCCACAAACAGATGGTAAAGATGTAGCACATTTGACCACCTATGCAATCAAATCTTCGGTATGATTACCACATTCCGCCATATTTGCACCAAGTTTGAAATGAAGATATTTTTCATAGCCTCGTACCAAACTTTCTATGCACAAGGATTCTCATTTAGTATATCATTGTGAAGTAGTTTCATTTACTTATGTGTAAAAGAGAAGTGTTTGCAGACTATTGCAGTTGTAAATGAAAAAAGAGCAAAAACATAATATTAAAAATAAATCTCAAAGATCATGTTTTCAAATGAGAATATAATCAGCACGTATTTGATCGCACTATAGTATAGAAATTTCCAAAGATTCATAATAGAACCACATCATTCTAATCTGAAACGTTCATGATAATGCTGGAAACCACTAGGCTGTGTGATCTTTAGGCGTTTGCTTAAAATATCATGTGACATCAAAACTAGCTTAATATGACTACTCATTAGTATACCAGTAGTCATTGTTGCTTATAGCCAGTGTTAAAAAACCATACTTTGTATGGAAGCAGGTGAGATATCAGGAGTAAAGGGACTCAAACCAATCAACAGTTTACTTATGTCATATATTGATTCAGTGAAAGTATGTTGAATTCTCAATCTCAGGACTCAATGATAGCTATGATCGGATAACGTCTGTAGGACTGAAAGAACCATATTTCACTATTAGATTATAATAGCACAAAAAGTGTCCTGAAAATTTTTAAAGTGATATTTAAGAAAACTGTAAGCACTTAAATTTCTGAAAAGTAACCTCAAAGCGATTTTGTTCGAAACCGTCTGAAGATATCTTGATTGCTGAAAAATACCACTAACATCGATTCGTAAAACTAACGATAGAATTCAAACACTTGTAGAGATTGATATCGTTACCAATGCACTAAGAAGTCGAAAATTTCTTCTTCTGCATTACTTTTAACGAGTTTGACATAATATGTGTAGCGTGGTTTAAACTGAAACTATTGAAAATATGATCAAAAATAACATTTCAAGCATCCCTACACATTAAATTTATTTCAATCTCCCCTTGGTCTAATTTTCAAATGACAGAAAGACAATGTCAACAACACATTCCAAAACACTTACCTTGTGGAAATCCGATCCCATAACCTTTAGAATCAAGCAATGTTCCAACTTGCGTTAGACGACAATCTCTCTGAGCATAATATTCATTCCAGGTTGATTCTAAAATGAAGGCATAATTACCTTGTAGAACACGTTCAATCCCCTCTTGAGTGGTTGATACAGTAGCATCTGGATATTTGTCCATGAATTCACCCATTTTCTTAAACGTTGGTAAAGATGAGGTCTGTTGATGAAAACAATATAATATGCAAACTGCCTTACTAGATAGGTATTTCTTAAAGGAAGGGATAAAATAAGACGAATATTTTGTAGGGGTTGGGAGCATTCTAAACTAGAGTAGTGGAAGAAGTATTCGCCTCAAATCTATCATGTTGTAAAACAGCACAACTGTGATTAATAATTACTAAGCAGTGATAACGGCTCAAGTTTTGAAGCTGAGTAATGAAGATTCCCATAAGACTGCAGGTAAACCTTGCGTACCAACTAGTGTGAAACACACGTTCAAGGTACCTGCCGACTTACCCTCATAATTATTACAAAATATCACAATTCGAGTTATTCGAAAGTTAACGAAAAATTATAACAAATAAACTATTGAAGAGTTCCGAATATATTTATGTGATAACATAATCATCTATAAATCAACAGTGTATTCTCAAACATCTAACTGTAAATGAATTTTAAGAACTGTTTTTTCTCAATATCACATGACTAACAACGCTTAAGCATTGACTGTAAGACCTGATAATTCTGGACACAGTCGTAGGTACATACTTTCTAGATGCTTTGCACTATGACAGAACAACTATCCATCGCCACCTGGTTTTCAGTGATACAACAACTGAGGTTACTATGTGAAGAGCTACACTAAAAAATTAAATGAATCTCTACAAAACACTAAGAAACATATTAATTTTGAATGGTTTTAGCGTTGTTTAGCGTGCAACGTGTTTATCTCAATTTTTAAACTTTCAGAACACATCTTTTTGATGACATTCCACTACAACGGCTAAGAACTAAAATATAACTATGAAGTGGAGCATTTTAAAACATTGTGTTAGATCCAAAATCACTACCATATAAAATTATGTAAGAACCTATTATATGCATTATTTACTGTTTATACATTCTTACAAAACGCAATCAATATCTGTCCTTTCTAGTTAGATAGTAGCAAATTATAGCTTACTCTGAAAAAATCACGGCTTGATCCACTTTTCAAGGTTCCGTATTTAATTTTTTCTTGATTAGCTAAATCTTCGGCGCTTTCAATGGGTGATTTCATATTTTCAACTGTCAAAAATGCAGCTAAATTAGCTGTGTATGTAGCAATAATAATCAAGGCGAAAAACCACCAAACTCCTGTTAACAATCGTGTTGAAGTAGCATGTGGTGCAAGTTCAGTTCCTATATTTTAAACAAAGAAGAGTAACTTGAATGAAAGCCTCATCATTGAATATAGAGATAAAATATGACATTTCTACACACTCAGCATCATAAATAAGAAGGAAAAATACTGCAGATTTCAAAAATACCTAATACTTTGAGAAAATTTGAGATTAGCGGTGTCGTATTTGTTTCGGATCCTTGCTTATAAAGGAATAACTTTTAACAATTTGATTGACCTCTATACTATACTAATGTATGAGTAAGCAAAATTTGGATAAACCTCAAAAAAACTACTTTTCAGTTATGTAAGATGTGAGACTATGGTTTAAATACCGTTAAAGACCAAGAAACAGTGAATAGCATTTTATTCTAGCATAGGACTTTTGGGTAGTGCACGTCCATGATCAACGAGAAATCGAACATAAGACCTTCAGACCATCAAGTTGGTTTGACAAGGAAATGTGGAAAATATCACCGACGGAAATGAATGATGGTTGTGCATAATCAAAACCTGACTGACGTTGGGGCTGCAAATTCTTAGACTGCAACTCAGTGATCGGAAGGTTTAGTGCCCAAGGTTCTATGTTCTACCCCTTGTTGGTTATGGATATGACCTGACTAGAAGTTTTTACAAGTGTGAGGCAGGCTTCCAATGCTAACTCGCTTTCAATGGTTGTATAACGAGGTTCATTCAGTGATATGAAACTTCAAATCTGAAAACCTTCACAACACCTTATAAAGTAAGTTTTTACTTCCACGGTAATTTTCATCGTTAGTGGGGAAAAGAAGAATGATGAATTCAATCGCAAAACTACCACATTTTTATGCAAGTATAATATAATGCAAAAATTTAATTTACTTTTATGTTAAACAGGTTTTTAAACTATCACTGAAGGTAATGATGGATTTTATAACTTGGATAACTTAATGATAAAGCCATGATAGAATGCAACAACTGTAAACCTTTATCATATTCCAGTAGTCTAAAACCTTTAATGTCCTTAAACTTGTGAAATAAATCATTTTGCATATGATAAATACACTAAAACATTGAAAAAGTTACTAAAATTCGCATATAGAATTACATAGCTACTAGACAATTCAGTGTCGGATTATTTATGAGAATGCATTCGCGCTAAGGTTTAGTTTAATTAAATCTCAATGAAAGACATATTTCATGACATTAAACCTTAAACCATGAAATGAACACGTTTACCAAGTAACGTAAATACAGAAGGTCAACAGTGGGTAATGTTTATTTGAGTGGTATGTACAGATTAGTTCAGATCTGCAGTTGGTTCTAATCACGGGACGAAATTATTTACTGATAAAATATTACACAACCTCGTATCAGTTGCAATTGATTTGAAGCCAATTTTTGATATCAATAAGATTATTAATATTCCATTATTGGATTACAGTACACTAAATCAATATTGTGTAAAATGACAGTAATCAACTTTCGTTTATCACGTAAGTGATAAACTTCTTGGTTCGCTAAATGGAGAATTCCAAATGAATTTGTTTCATGTTGAAACATTTAAATCTTTGTTTTTATCACCAACTTACAAATGGAAAAAACAAAATTATTGTAAGATAAAACCTGATACCTTGATTCAGTAAAGCAGATACATTATAATAGAAGCTGTTTAATAGTGTGAATTGATTTTTTCTTGTATCGCCACCTTCTTCACAAGGATGTGTTGCTGTCCATTCATGTGGAGAAAGACGGGCAGCAACAAATAAGCACAAACACACAGCTAAATACGTGAAACCCACGTATAACCATACCTGAAAATCAACAAAAGTTCGGTGATGCAAAATGGTTGGGGTTAATGTTAAAGCATATCAAACAAATATGTTTCTAGTAGAAAGATCCTGGTATTCAGTTCTACATAAACTAAGAATGTTTGCAACTACAATATTGTACGTGAAATATATTGGCAAAGGTAAATCAACATGATAATTACTACCATGCAATAGAGTAGTAGTAGATAAGATGTTAGTTTATCAATACAATACTTTATTTTATGTCCCATGTTTTGCAAACAACAGCTGGAATGGTTGATACGGACTCTAAATAAGCATTTTCACCCAGTGAATTCGTAGTGATCAATTTTAAATAGTTAGGCAGTAGGTCATTAATTTCTTAAGCTTCATATTTTCCTGTTGTTGACATTTTAGACTATAGATGATCAATTCCCACAAAAATATCTGCATCCCGAGTCAGATATCTCGATGTTTAAATGTAGTAAGAAAATTATGTCAAGTTGGAGTGAGAATTAATAATTTTGATCTTGAAAGTCAATACTGGCTAAATTAAAACCCTCATGAATAATTTTATACCCATTAAACAAGTTAGCGGCTATTTGGACTCATTCGGTTAATCTTTATCTTAAGTGACAGGTACTCAGTTCGAATTCTACTGTGTAAACCAACAATGGGATTTAGTCACACCCAGGTAACAAGTATCAATTGAGACGAAACTATAGTTAATGAACACCTTTGTTTTTTAAACGACACAGAAATAAAATTACTATAAATTAAAATTACGTATAATAACTTAATTGTTCGAGCCAGTAAACTAGCTTACTTGTGGTGAAAGTGGTTGAAGAAATGAAAACAATGATGGTTTTTGACTTTTTGGTCTTGTAAATAAAATACTCCCACCCAAAGTCATCCACGGTGTACTAAAATCAACAAGTTTTTCACGTTCATATGTTATTGTAAATCCGGCTACAGCCATATCAGCTTCCTGTATACAGAGAAGAACAAAGAGGGAATCTATTAGAATAACTGATTTTTATTATTTATGATTAATTCGCTAGACACGTTCTTTTTAAAATTAAAGTAGTTGCCAACCACAGAGGTTATCTCATCTGTGTATAATCTAATTGAGTTTATTTCGATGCATTATAGTACCGAATCAAAGCAAATTAAAGGAAAAACTCACTTTAAATCGACAGTTACTCAACGTTTTATTTGTTGAAGGTTTGTTTGTCTGAACCTACTACAAGAGATTAGTGTTCTCTGTTTAACTTAATTATTATACTAAATTTATTAACAATTTATTTAGATTATATGTTCAGATTTTATGATGATGGAAGTTATTTGCCTCAAGAACAAGAATGTATAGACCTTTTTTACGACAGAGCTGATTTAAATTTTATAAAAAACACAAGTCTCATCCTTATCATTACCTTCTACCAATGTATTTGACTTCTGTTTATAATGCATGTTTTTAACTTAAGTTGAACATAACTCCAATCAAGTACAATCTGAAGGAGCCAGGTTTGATCTGATGTGAAGTCATATGTTCACAACTCCGTAAAAACTTGAACCTTAATGAACATTTATTCGTTTTTCTTGCAATCGCGATGTTTCTTCAACTGACTACCTTGTGATGAAAATTACTATTAAATTACAAAAACAATATGTAATTTGACATAAAGAGTGTCAAGGTAAAAGTTACTATTTAATTTTAGGCTTGTTTACAAAAATGAGTCATTCAGAAAGGTAAATTGTGTAGAACAACAATAAATACATCGAATAAAATATTTTTTGGGGTAACTTTATAACGATTAATAATGATGAAATAAAACCAATCGTATTTCTCCTTAACCACACTTACCTCTCTGATCAGTTCTCCCATTATGCCATTATAGAAAATGGTTCCGTTTCCAACGTCTATACCTGATCCATATTGTCTGTCTGGTGTTATATGAACTGTATAATTAAATCCAACATCTGATGCGATATGATTCAACAGATCAATACAATATCCCATCCATGCATCAGGTGTACCTAATGGTCTATCATATGCATCAAACTTGATTGGAATCATGAATGGGGCATCCTAAAAGTTTCAAGCAATCAAAACACTAATGAGTTATTATGATGAAACCAATGATTTCTTTGACTTCAACGTCAATATGTTTCCTAGGATTTTTTCTTTATTTCTTATTAAATGAATATTACTTAATCATTTTGATATTTTTTTAACATCTATAAATAATAAGCAAGTAATTATAATGTCATATTTTCTATTGTTCATCAATGAAAACTTACAGGGATTGTTGTGACTTTCAAGACTACACCTTTGATTTTGGGTAACTGTTTTGGTAACGTTATTGCAGGTTGCTTTGCAACTTTCATTCTTTCATCTATGTTCCATACTCCAGTCTGATAAAAATAAATTCCGTGGAGCAAGTAATTAGTACAATAAAGGGCTAGAAATTTCTATTAGCAAATATATAGTTGTGTATGCAATTACGGTTATGTATAAATAATTGTTTTTATCATAGGAGCTAACATTTTCGAACGACAGAATGAATATTAACGTAAAGCTTTACAGCCAAAAAATGTAGTTCAGAACACAATAGATTCTGTTAACTGAAATTATTTCTTTTTTAAACATATTGATATTACCAGTGGTTCGTGTTGAAAAAAATTGGACAGTCGATGCAACAATAAATCAAAAATTTATTCCTCGTGGATTTCTCACTCATCCTCAATAGGGGGAAGAAATCAAAACGAAACATTTTACTTAGTCAGCCGGTTTTTATTGCTGAAAAAAAGGTATTATTAATGTAAAATTTGAATCTGTTTTGTCCTGTACGCGGTCTGGATAAGTTAATCAAAGGTTTTATATGTTCATAGTAATAATGGGGCGAAGGTTTCTGAAAATTTATTACCGCTTACTAATGGAGTTTGTGTTTAAATAATCAATCTTTAAACCATGTTAGCTAACAAGATCAATCCTTGGTTTCTATTTGATTTAATTTTTGAGTATTCAGAATTAAGGAAAGAGTAAGATGATTAAGGTCAGCTGATGGATTTAAAAACACCTCCTGGTTTAAATTGTCACAAGCGATCTGTATAAATTATATTTTAGTAACTTACCCTCCGAATTAAATATGTGCTCAAGGATGAACAATCAGCCAGGCAGTAAATATAAACACTGGTTCTGAATAAGCAAGAACCCTTAGAGTTTATCTTATAATTCACTTGTTTGTAGGATTATTTCTTTTATATATTATCCGTCAAATTATTTTCAGATTGTAGCCCACCCCTATCAAATGATCACATAGTGTGTTTGAATGTTCACTGGTCTACTAACATTTTCCCACCGGTGAAGTGAAAATACGGGAATACTTAATAATTTTATTTGGAACTCTTCAAATGAAAGACAAATATCTGAAACCTAAAGGATTTAAGGACTATGTAGCTTAATTTTTACTGGTTAAACCGAGCGGCTGTCGCACTTAGTTCCAACTTGAATGAAGACTTTATTCTAACTCATTTACTCTGAAGGATTATATCAGAGATAGGAATGGAGATTCTCAGTAATAGTTCAGTTTGTAATATGGCAAAGGGCCATTGAATGCTGACTTTCATTAATTCTCAAGCTCATAGGTTTTAGTAAAATTAGTCTGATGGTTGATGGGTTACATCAAACTATTAAATGAATGGATCGTACTCTTATACGATAAAAATATTTCCTCCCCCACTTCTGATTAATAGAGAATAGTAGATTAAATGCTGTAACAATCTAGTGTAACTATTTCATATGAAGCGATAGCTATGGAGTCCAAAACCGCATATCAGAAAGAAATTATATTTACTCACTATAGCAATGATTTTAATTTCAAATATTATTCTATTTCAAATCATAATCTTATGTTGGTAATTCAAGATAACTAAAGTTGATTTGATCTTAGTAAGTTGCCTAGCTGTTTGATACTCTATACACACTTTTTTTAACATTTACATGGTGTGTCAGCTAATTAAACGGCTGATAGGTGTGTTACAGGACGAAATCTGTGAAACCATTTTAAAAATAATTTACTCAAAAAATGAATTATGAGTTAAGATTAGTAGCTACACCTTAATTGTAAAAAATGTACGGCAAAAGTTTGAAAGAAAACCCTTTGTATACCAACAGTAATACATCTTGGAATACTAAACATTTGTACTGGTCCATTAAGATTTATGTTGTACACTGATCTTATCAGTCATTCAGTGAATTGGTTTGACGACTATAATACATTCTTACGTATGACTTAAGAGTAAAACACATTCCTTGAAAACAACAAACCTGCACCAACTCAATCCAACAATCTCATATGAAAATTTACGGAAATGACTCAGCACCTGATGTATATATGATAATGATATGAACATGTGTACAGTTGCGAATAGATACTTCTTTATCAAGCAGAGTTTAGTACTATTTAAAGAATGAAAAGTACTCTATGAAGGGAAAAGGGTATTATAAATTTAGATTGCTATTACTAGACCTTAGAAGTTAAGTGGGAACACATTTTATCATTCATTACTTACAGGTTTAAATCCACCCTGGGTTAGTTCCAGAGTAGTTAGATCGAATAATGTTCTTAAACCGTGTTTGTCAAAACGGAAGGGACTTGTTAAACCCCGAATAGTTTCTGACGCTACCTATAAGATTTTGAAAAATAAGATCCAAATGTAAGCTGTACGAGTTGATTTTGTTATTCCGTTTACATAGAAACAAAATATTTTGTATTCTATGCCAAGATAATTAAGCAACTTCTTTTCTGACAATAATGGTCAACACCATATACGGTAATAGTGTTGTGCATAATGTTGTGTTCTGTGTCCTCTGATATCACAAAGTAAATAGAGAATGAACAAAATTATTAGAAACATACAAACAATTAATGATGTCTAATCTGTGAGAAAACAGGTGAATGACAAATAATTAACTGGTAAATCAAGCACGAATGTTATTTTGCATTTTTCGACTATGTAACTCCATTGTGAACGAAGTCTGACTATTTGTTCTTAAGGTGTGAGACATTTAAAAGACATTCAGAGCAAATAGCGTCTTTCACCCTTATAAATACCTCTAGATTAAATTAAATACTGATAATTTTTCATCTATCTAGTGATTTAAACCGGATAACGCAACAAAGTAAACCAAATATCTGTGATGTAATGAATATTGATAAACATGGGTCTTCAAAATATATTCTACTGGTATTTATCGTAGATCATCTAAAGAATATAAAGTCTTGCTTTGCTGATGTGTATCATTGTCAGATTTGAAATATATTGAGAATTTTGATTTTGATTTATCCACATACGTAGCTGACGCATTTCATCCTAAATGAACACTAGGGCTATGTAACGCTCGATTAATTATGATCTAAGGATATTAGCCGACGTAATTGCACTTGGACTGCATTTTCCTTTCAGGAGTACATAGTATAAGGCGTTAATACCCGTCATTTAACGTACCATAGCCCCACTCAAGCCGGTATTATAATAAATTTCAAGTATTTCGGTTTATAGGAAATCCACGGTAAGACTTCATATTTGAGGCACATCTAGTTTCATGATTCACACTCCAGACTGAAAACATTATCAGTACCTTCTCTTCTGCTTTTAGCCATATGAATCGGAAAATTTGAAGTGGACCAAAGTACACCAAAAACTTCCGGTTATTCAGCTTACTGGTAGACTGGTAACCGTAACGAATAGAACTAATTGATTTGAAATGATTTGTCAGTCACTGATTTGTACGATTCATTACAATAGTTTGACTGTGATAATTTAGCTATCCAAATAGACTGTTTTAACTATCAGGGTATCGTTAACTCATAATGTTAGTTATCTGCAACATAATCTACGAAGAATAATTATAGCCTTGATAGGACTTACTATCAAGTTAGTATGTCAATAAATAGATCGAAATTCATAATATCAATAACTTTTGATGTTACTAGTTTAGATCTTTAGTTTTACAAAATATGAGTGTTTTCAACTTGTTATCTGCAGCGCCACGATAATCTAGTCCGTAATAATACTTATTAGTAACTTAACCACTTTTTATGATTACTGAGGTCATTTAGATAATTTCCAAATGTTTCATTGAGTGTCCACAACATATTTACGTAGTCATTGATTTATCGAACTTGGGTGAATATTAATTCCAGCATACACCTCATAATATGATTGCTAGAAAAGTCACAGTATAAAGAAAAACCATACCGTTTAAACTATTTAAATGTATTAGAACGATTGTGAATCCCGCATCAAGAGAACTCTAATCTCAATTCAATTGTTCGACAAAACATGGATACACAAAGCCAAGACATACTAAAGGAAAATCTAATTGTTTTGACCAACTTATCGTAGTCATTCGTTTACGTCATCTTTTAGTGAGTTTTGCCTATCTTGTTTATGTAAATTTTATATGAATACACCGACATTATCTACTTTTTGATGCCATTGTGTGATTCTTAGTTAGTGCATTAAATACACATAAATTGATCTATTTTTTTATATCGCAAGAAGCCTGATGGTCTTTAAACTATTAATATATTTGCTGAGATAAGGTTTTAATCCGTCGATTAGAGAAAGAGTAAAACTACTTCCTTAATGAGAGATACATTCACCTTTATATGGTTGTATGTCCGATTGTGTTCCCATGTTTTTGAGTTCAACCCAGTTTTTCTACAAAATAGGGCATCCTCTGCATCGTGTCCGTCGTTTGAAGGAAAAAACACAGTAAATAAGGATTTATATTTACACCAAAACGAAATGAAAACTATCTAATTACACGGAATTCCAGTCTTCATTTACATGGATTAAAAGTTAGATTTTATGTAACTATGTAGCATTCACCACTGAACATAATTAATTAATTATTTATTTATTTATTTACCGTATGTGTACAGTTTATAGATATTGTAAAATCGGAATGTTACAACTAACTAACTAGCTAAATTATCTGGTCGCACTTCTGTCTATTAGTTTTTAAACTAAACAACAATTTACAGTAAGTAACATACCGATTTAACTGCATTGATCAGACTTAACCCAAGAGGCCATAGACCTGGTGGACGTTCACAGCTTAATTTCTGTGGTAACAATGGTCTTGTTCTTGTCACCGTACTAAGTCCATGTGCTAGAAGTATAAGGCTATCGTAAATTAAACTGAATTGAATCTAATTGAAAAATACAATAAAGATTAAATATACCTTTTATTAAGATATGTTAATTATATATTGATAAAGATGAATATATATAGAAAAAATCTTTGAACAGAACATAAAGTTCCACAGCACGAGAGAATCTCCGACACGTTAGTGTATGAGCTACTATGATCATTTTACTCTTACTCTTTATAGTCGAAACTCGTTTTCAGTGATTTACCGTACTGAAATCTTTTCAGATTACTAATCCATTAAAAGATAGACTTAATGGTAATCTTCATTTAAAAAACTGATTACTGTAAAAGAGGGTTTTGATATCATTTTAAAATAGATTTTTCTTAATGTTCAATTTAACTCCTCTTCCTACCCTGAGGGGTAACGAAACTAGAGGTAATTACTTTTACTATAAAATGAACCAATCACTTTAGCTTACATATAAGCTTTACCTCAGTATTTTGGTATCTTGAATTTCACAAATCTGTTTCGTTCCTATACTTACAAATGACTTTAAATGCCAACAAATGTTTTATGTCTTGTTGCATTTATATTTCACCATGCATTAATTAACCCTAAATAATCCTACTATACGCACATTCTGATCGTTAATTTTTTCACTTTATCTTACTTAAAAGCCAATCCAAGTTCCTATTATCTCCAAGGTACTTTTCTATTTACAAACGCTACTAGACTTTTATTGACTACACTGGTAACTTCGTAATCTGTTCATAGTAAATCACTAACTTCTCTATTCTTTTCATTAGAACTTATGGATATGCAACCTGATGAAAAGTTAGTGCATAAAATAATTACCTTCAAGACATAAGTATTTTAACACGATAGTAATTTTGCAACATGATTCTGAGTTGGATAAAATTAGCATATATTAACGTGATCTAAACATACCGATAAAATTATAGATAGTATAGCAACTGAATAAGAAAAAGAGTGTAGCAACTTTCATACAATCAATTTCGATTATGATGAATTTTGGTTAAGCCCTTTTATTAACTTACTTAACAGACAATGTTACTTAAGCAGTAACAACTCATCTATTCTTTGTACTATTATGATCACTATCTTGTCTGTATAAATGTGTACGCTTGATCACATGACAGCCTACATACATATCTCTCTCTAGCTTAAATGTTGATAGCTTAAATATCTTTCGATGAATCATTCTCTTCCCTCATGTATATATGTACTCGAATCCTATTAATGGACTTTGCCTTACTATGTCCCTACTCGAGTTGACTATAAATTCGTCTGCCTACACTGGCATACACATTCGCCTCTATGCTTTAAACTGGATTGGTGTGAATGTAGCTTTGTGGTCCGTTATATTCGCTAATAAACCGTAGCCGCCACTTCTTATCGTCTTCTAATTTCAAACACTATTGGGATTTACATAATAACAGTTATTAAGGTGATCGATTAGCAAAGCTAAGCCACTACAGTAGAATGTCTATCGCCGTGTTTTAAAGTTAATAAAAGGCCATCCGTTGGTAAAATTATCAAATATTCACATATTCAACTAAAGTCATTGTTGTGTCTATTTTCACAGTATATGGAGTCGAATGGGGTTTGTAGATTGCTCTTTGACATTTCTATAAATAACTTTCGTCAATTTCTTGTAAAACATATTGTGCAAAAATCAACATTAACTTACAGTAGGGTTTCCATTGGAAAAATCTTTTGAACTAGCAATATTTTCAAGAGTTTTCTTATAAGGTAACATTTCTGGTTGAGGTGTTTTATTTATGTCCAATGAAGTAACTTTAGGAATGATTGAAACTGCTTTGATTCTTGCACCTACATCAATTTTGAATGCGCTTAAATCTAATATTGCAATATCCTAAAAAAGAGAAAGCAGTTCAGAACTTAAGATCTAGACATCGATAAGGTTATTTCAAGAAAAATGTCAAATATGCTTGAGGCGGTTTTTTAACTTATTGCTAGGCAATTATGTCATAATGCTCAGTAATTCCGTGATACCAACTAAAATGGCACGTCAACGAAAAACATCTAAAACAAAAACACGTAGTTTGAAGTAAATCCAACCAAGCTTACAAAAAACACGTAGTGTTTTATTGTTGAAGATTAATATATAAAACCGTAAGGGGTACATGAAATGCTTGATCAGACTAGAGAACAAAATGCAAAACGAAACGTACATAAACTAGTCAATATTATGCAAAACTCCTGCATCTATATTTCCTGTATTTATACATCGGACTAATAAAAGTCAATATATGCTGCGTGTAGTTTCTATTAACTTGACAGATTTGATACTAATAGGATCTCACCGTAACTACCTAAATGTCATTACATATTATCTTGACGTAAAGTTAACTGCCAAAGAAAAGCAGATTTGTACCTAAACTTCGCCATTTTTCAAACGTTTATTTAGTACCATAATAGACATCAATAGACAGTCATTTTACAATGGAAATATAGTGAACATCACAAAAGCGCTCAAAATAATAAGCTGGCAGCAAATACAACTTTCAATTCGTTCAGCAGGTACTACTCTCATTAAGTACTGTAAACCAAACCTTGCACCCAGAAAGAAAGATCAGGAAGCTTTTCATTGCCATGGTAAAGTGAATACAGTGATGTAAGGTTCGCTGCTAAATGATTTTTTCCATTTTATATTTTGAATATCCCACCGACACTCATTCGTGATATTGGTTTTGATTGTGTATCAACTGAAGAGGTTGATTATATATATGATCAGTCATTTGTTAAATTGTTTTTCATGTTATCTCTTAATTAGTATTGATTATATCAATTCCTTTTTAAATTTTACTGCATTTTAGCACATAAGTAATGATCAATCTTAAGAACTATGTTAAATAATTTGTGTCTTCTTCATGTTTTCAAAATTTTTTTCTGTACCATCTCAAAATCAAATACATTGTCGAAGTTCGTTTGTAGCTAGTGAGGAGTCGCGAAATGTAATGAATTCATTTTATAGTGAAGATCCTCTTGTTCTTGCTATTTGGGTTTTAGTGTTTCAAATTTGTTTTGATTAAATAATTATGTTTGTTAATCACGTATACTTACACGCATTCATATAATATTTACTACACATTTCGTATCTAATAACCGAAAAAGTCAAGAAGTACCACAACGGCTGTTTATATTTTTATCGCTTCTATCGCTTGGAGAAAGCAAATGCAACTGTTATCGAATTCTTATAATATTAGACGATGGTGAAGATTTTATGGGAACAAGTCATTTACAGATGGGTATAAATGGTCGCTAACCACTGTTTAAAGACTTTTATACAAAGTTTTTTTTAATATTCAGAAGTTGAATACTTTTTTTAGTGCTGAGAATTCTTCAATCTAATCAAACATATAATATTGTATACTAATAACACTAAAGTCTCATTCAACCAAATTCGTATTTCAGAATTTCGCTTTTTAGGTACAGTACGTGCTACGGCAATTTATATAAATGAACCGAACCAATATACCGTAAAGAATATTTAATGCGTTAGTTCTTAGTGTTAAGAAACATTTTCCTCAATGAAATGATACGATCTGCTTTAAAATGTCTTCCTATGCACATCTATCATAGTTGACCAAATGGAAGATATAGTAGCAAACATATCTTCAAAACGAGTGGTAATCAGACTGTAAAACAAAATAACACAGTAAAGAAACAGTACATAAACCATCACACCAAGTTTATTGCCGGAAACAGGTAATGATGTAAACAATTTGGCTTAGTATAGACACTAAATGTATGAGTATGCTTCAAAACAAATTTTACAAATTGATACTGAAAATATAATCAGAATAATTTTATTTTGGATACACGTTTTTGTGAAAAGATGTGTTCTGTAATGACATTGTCCAACTGATGCGCTTGAGTGTAGCCCGAAACATGAAGCTATATAAACCTGTAAAATGTTCTTTGATAGACTTAACAAAAAGTAGATGTTAATGAATAAGCGTCACAGGAAGTTATTCTCAGTTTGTCATATTCCCAGGAATTACTCATTTTTGTTCTTACGTGTTGTAATCAAAGGTGATTTAATTCTTAATGATTCCAACAATAAAAAGTATTACTTCTATATGGTGCTATCATAAAGTAGTCATTAGTTTTCAGGTTGTAAGATATTTTTATTAGTTAATACATCCCGAAAGTAAGATATTGTTAAACGGTACTCAGTCCAGATTTCATAATTCAGCATAGTAAATCGTTTTATATATACGTTTTTGGATTTCATTTGGTTGGAAACCTCAGTGAACTTTATATAAAGTGATAAATTTTTAATATGGGTTTCTTACTAAGGATTTTTTTGTAAAGTGAACTGTTTTGATTGGTCAATCACTCAATGAAATAACATATCTGGGGAGGACATGTAGTTTACTTGTTATCATGGATATCATTCTGTATGGCAGTTAACCAACTCAAAATGGCTAATTAAGATTAGTAATAATACTTCATTACTTTTTGATGTTATTACGACTTGATCGTTCAAAATTTTCGAACAAAAAACCTTGAATATATTCGTTTATCTTTTAGAAGATCAGTGAATGTGTCTCATTAACTCATATGAAGGCCGAGTTGTATAACTAATACCAGATTGTATTACTTACTACAGATAAAACTGCTTACATTTTTATTATTAAGCTTTAACGACCTAACTTTTTATTTGCAAACTTCTCGGGACATCACAAAGGTAGTTTCTTGCTTTTCTACTTACCTTCTGTTACGAAGATACTTTATTAGTTAATGGGTATGATCAGTCGATAAACAATTATCTATTTATGCATATCAATAATATTTCATTATTCACCTGTATGGCCGTTAGTTACAGGGTTACGTGTGATTTCCCTATGCTACAGTGTCTAGAATGGAAAGGTATACTGAATTTTTTTCTATTTATGTACTTAACATACTATAATAATTGACATTTGATATTCATGTGGTAACTGTACTCGTAATGATAAAATAATAACATTTTGAATACATAGCTTTTACAACTGAAATTGGCTGTTGTAAACCTAACACGTGAAATGAAATCATTTTGTGTAGACTATCTGCATGTATTTACAATAGTCAAACAAAAACTCTGGGGTTTACACTGTTACTAATCAGGCCTCATTTATCACAGCCATAAGCCATTGTCTAGAATCCAACTAGTTTGATTTCATCTAACAAATTATATCATTCATGTGGTTTCAGTTTATCTATTGATCTGGAATTTTCGTTTTATGAGGACAATTTTGTTGGTATAGGATGATAAATTTCCATGAACCAAAGCCATATTGTTGAATTTTCGTAATGTACTGACAGATAATTTGTATGTCACAAAATAAACCAATCCAAATAAGTATTTTTTCCATCACGTAACTTTTTAATGGTTGTTAAGCTTAATTTATTCAAAAAATGTCACTACCAACTGGTTTCAATTATTCCACTTAAACAAATAACTATTGCTCAATAACCACTGAAGATTATAATAAATCCATTCTACGTTTGTATGAGTGGTTTAATAAGTATTTCCTTAATGTGTTTCCTAATGAAGATTATAATTAAAGAAATGTGAATAGTTAGTCAAATTTGTTAGTTTATGAATTATTGTTGCAGACCAGTTGTAGTATTTAGTTTTGAGTTCGTCGAAAAATGTTGTACAATAATAGATGAGCGGTTCCTCAGATTTAGGTGCGGCTCAATTTTCATATTAACATTTGTGCACGCAAATAAAACTAAATCGTTCAACAACATGATCATTTTGATTTTTAAACAACCTCTACGTCTAGATAGTATGGCAATGAATAAGCTGGTATTTATTACACATAACCTGTGTACTTAGTTTGCGTTGCACATAAGTGGATACTACAGCTATCAACTTCTCATTAGCAGCAAATACAACCTCTCCGCGTTTGAACTTACAATATGCTTTATTTTCTTGTGAGTCAAGTAATCTTTTCCAGTTAGTCAAGGATAAATTTATTTACGTTTTGAATGCTTCCAAAAATGTTCAGACGTGAGATTTTGTTCACCTAATTAACTTACCATCCAAACAAAGTTTTGTGAATTCCAATCCCTACGATCGAACAGCTTCTTTGATATTTGATAGGATTCTTTGTTATCAATTGAAATAAAGCAAAAATGACATATTCTGGGCCGTCATTCTACTATCTCTAAACACATTTATTTGACATAAGCAGTATGCTTATTTTGTAACCCTAAGAGTAAATTAACAGTTTTATTGAAACATATACTCATTGAGATTCCTAACAAAAAAAAATAAAAAACTGTTGATTGGAGAGTTCATGTTCCTTGTGTAATCGGTAGTAAACAGTAAACATGTTTTACCATGCAAAACTATTAACATTACTAATTAATAAACAAGTCCGAAATTCATGTTATATGACTTAAAAGGTTTTCAAACTGCTTTTTTTTCAAAATTCGGCGCAAGTGTTATGGTTTTCATTTACGAACTCATGAACATTTGGAAAGCTATCGAATATTTATTGAACTAAGTAAGACAATAAAATAAATAAGTGATCAACAGGTGAATAATGTTCGATTTTATTTAACTTACTGACTATGCTATACCAGTCAGTTATCCTTATTGATTTGGATTAAGTCGATATTCCAATATACTGTGCTAATTGAATAACTTTAAACACCACTAACTGCTAGGGAATAATACTTGACCATAGCTAATGACAAGAGTATCCTTTTAACTTAGTTTGCAGAAAGTCATTTGTTCGAATTAGATCTTTAAGAGGTGTTGATAGAGTGTTATAAGGCTACCAAAACTCTTATTACAGATATATATCTTAAGTGTGAATATTTAGTCTGACGACTTTATTTAAAGAATATTTATATTGCAAAAATGTTTCTATAAAATATAATCGTTATTTCTTGCGACAATCTAGTTTACTTTTCAGAATTATTACGACTTAGGATGATCACGTCTATTAATGAAAAATGTTTTTTTAATGCATTTTTACTGTTTCAGTTTATTCTTTAATAGGGAGTTCCTCATTTTTATATATTGATTAATTAATTGGAAGTTTCACTATTGAATCGTTTTCTATTTTATATTACCTATGACAATTATACAACGCTACAGATTATCAATCAATTTAGTTTCAACATGTGTTGACTATGAAAGATTTATATATAGTACGTAACATGATACGAATATTAAAGCATTTCGAAACCCTAACTACCAGGTAATTTACTGTAATTTTGAATACAATTGATTCCTAATCGTTTGGAACGCTGCTTATCGTCACTATACAAATTATTCGTTAACTAACACAGAGTAGTTTCGTTATTTTTTACTCAGTAAACGTCACTGATTTACTATTTCATTCCATAACATATCAAAGCTAGATTTTTAAAGTGTAATGAAACTAGTTTCGCAGATTTATTCATTGAAAGTTGAACCAGATGAACAATTTCATATATTTAATTTGAACGGATATTAATTTACGACATATATGGAAAAGGCTATTGATTTTTACTGAGAAACGTGAGGGATTTGATTGCTATGCGGAAAACTTAGGAATACGCATTACTTTCTACAGGGTAACTTTAAATTTAATACTATTTATATGACAATCACTTGTGAATCAGATTCCAGATTTTGGATGACTTATCAAGATTAAACGTTTGTTAAGTAGTATAATTTGAAATATGTTGTGCTACAGATCTATATATAACTAAGTAATCAAATAAAAACTACTTGCTATTTCTTATCAACCTCATTTTCTAAGCCTTATTCATTAAAAGATGACTACAATCTAAACGTTTTACTTTGAGGAAGTTATTAAGTTAAACAGTTCATCATACTTCTCGTTCAACGAATTTTCTGCCTTGAATAACCGCGTTTTTAATAACTATGTTAGCACTGGACAACAGTATTTTAATGAATTAGTATGTCACTGAAATGTTTAGATAAAGCGATAACATGTACTTACCCAATCTGTGAATACGAAAGTATACTGAAAGCCGGTCATATTGTGCACATATGCCTGTAGAAGAAATATATGTGCACGTGAGGTATTAAATCATATAAACATTTTAGAAAATGTAGAAAAGATGTAAAATAGGAAAGTAAGAGATAAAACAAAGATAAACAAAAGTCATATTGATACACAGTAAAGTATATAAAATTGTGGTTATAATGTACAAATACTGTTACAACGATCCTTTCTTTGGTAGTGAGTGCTAAGAGTGTACCAACTAATGCAAGTAATGCGGCTAAGAAAACAAGTGATGTAGCATTATGGTACATAATGTAAAGTTGAACGTACTCGATGCCTCAACACAAATTCTAGGCCTAAAGTTGGGTTTCCTCAACCCTTATAAAAATAAATATCTCTAGTTCTATGGAACAGATCTGACTTTAATATAATTAAGCTTCAATAAGTGTTGAGAAGTGAATGGTGCCTGTACTAAAAAGGAAATATAAATAAAATCTTATTTGATTTGAAATACCAACAGAATTAAAAGTTCGGTGTTCATCGATTTATTCAGACATTAAGCTTCTTATACATTTTGAAAACTGTTCAAATTTAAAATGAAGCAATTTTTCATTTCCTTATATAGCTCGAGTTTAGATAAGAGCTTGAGGGTTGCAACATTGATGACAGCTGGCAACGTAAAATATATATGTATTTGGTCAAGTTTTTTGTGATTTATTTCTGTATTGAAAGAAATAGTTATTTTTATTGTTTCCAACAGATCCTGACTTTTTGACTTCAGGTTATAATGAGTCAGGTATATGAATTCTAAGGTCTACTGTTCTGCACGGGTATTCGTATGGAATTCATTGCGCATTAGAACCCATTCATGGGTTTATAAGTAGGAAACAACTGGGCACACGTGATGTATAAATTCTGATAAAACCTCTTTGCTACCCATATCTAGCACAAAAGAAGAATATTTTAAAAATTAGAACCTCTTTTCTGAAAGCCTATTATTCAAAAAAAACAATTGCACATTTTTTGACATAAAGCTCTGTCCCGGAAGTATTACAATCATTAGAATCAACCGTCATTGGTAATATATTTTTAGAATAAAGTTTGCAACCTTTTTTTATAACTTCACTTTCCTGATTGTATTGTTTGTAACAACTTTCCATTGGACCTGAATTTAGGTTTGAAACTAAGATTTTGTATCCAGATGAAAATATTTACCGTCTGCTACATGGATACATTATTCGAATTAAACTTGTTTAATAAATATTCACCAATTAAACTAAAACACATACCATAACTAAGAAATTGGTTACTTGCCAACTGGGAATGTCCACAAGAAAATTTTTCTCCAATCCTGACCCTAGCTCTGCCATCATTGCTCTAGCACCACTTGCATTTTCATCCCATGATTTAATTTTTAGTATTCCTTCAAAATTATTTACTAAAGTGGCAAATTTGAGCAAACCTAAAATAATATGAAAAATAGATACATGCTATGAAACTATTAGTCATGATAACAGATGTAACTCCGATGTAAATGTTTCAAAGATAGCATTGAATGTATGATATCCGCCAATAAATTCTTACTAGTATTGAATACATACTATGAAAATCGTTGTGTGAGACTTCATAGTGTTAACTTCCACATTAAAATTTATTTATATTAGATGTACTAGTGTCATTATTGTATAGAATAAAGTGTCAAATGTTCACTTCATATTGATTGAAATGTATCTAAATGGTGTAAAGTTGTCCAGTGATTTTAAAATACAGAATGCAGTTCTCCAGGGTATTAGGTTGTTTTAAATTTTGTTTAAAAGACACTGTATGGTGCTTGCTCACTTTTAAAATGAAATGTAATTATTGAGAGACTGACCTAAGATAACACGTCAGTATGGTATAGTACATGTTCTTGTTTGGCAGGTAGAACTTACGGAACAGTAATTTTACTCCACTTAATAAGGTAAGTTAAAAGTAATTAGTTCTATTAAAGGGTTGATTGAAGAGTGCATCACTAAGGAACAACGAATATATTTCATAAAAAGTCCGCAGGCTTAGTAAATTTTAATAATGTATGACTTAAACTTACTTTCAGGTTTATTGTAGATGAGTGTCATACGTTTCCATTTTTCCACCTGAGTTAAATATTCATATAAACCTATTCCGTAACTTTCTATACTTGGATGTAAATGTATGGCATAAGTAGTTTTTCTTGGTATCATATTCCAGTGTGTTTCAACATATGGTAAACCAAATCGATTGGCCAAAGACAACAAAGCTTGTGATAAAGATGTTGAGCTTGGTCCATATAAGGCAATAATGCCTCTATCCAAAATTTTGCATGCTTTAAATAAAGGAGTGAATGTGGACATAGGTAATCTAATGAACAATTTAGTTGAATTCAAAAGAAGTACCAATGAATAGACTTTGCGCTTTAATTAAATTTAAGTCACAGTTACTTAATTATTATTGTCGTCGTTATAAAAAGTGAATTACAGATAAATGAATCCAGGAAGTTTGGTTTCCAGAGATATGCTATCTTGACATGTACTTAAACTTGATGTATTTAGAGATGCAGATGGAAGCTAGCATTATTTAATTGGATAACTTTTGATTTTATTATTCTTGAATATATTTTCATAAAGCTTACCCAATTTACATTCCGATCAGTAATCAGATTTATTCGTATCAAAGTCGCTTGCAAAACTATATGGTTCCGTCTCACTTTTTATCGCTTTTTATACTACTTGACAACGTATGAGAAGTTAAGAAAAGCGTTTTTAGCGAAGACAGATCAAAAGATTCATTTTCAATTTAAAGTGTATTTCACTAGACCAGTTATACTGCATATGTTTAGTGAAATTACAAAACGTTGAAAAACTCACCTTTATTCGAGACGCAATAGAAATATGCAGCTACGACTCCAGACAGAACTGGGTCGTGAACCATGGTATCAACGTGTAGTCGTTTTAAAGACGTTATTGAGAGTCTCGTTATGGATCTAAAACAGGTCCTCACTTTACTGTGTTTTTATATATTTCGACCTCTGACATCAGTTAACAACCAAAAATACCTTCAAGATAATTCCACACAATCATATGACGAATTCAGTAAAATTGGAAAGTAATCTTTATTGTTTTATCATCACAAGATCCTTATTTAAATAATACTGGACATTAGTGTGTTCCGAACAAAATGAATCATATCATGTTGCACTAAAAATAAGTATTGTTTAGATTTCGTATATTATTACACTCAAAATATGGTAATAATTAACTATCTTTGTTAATGTATGATTTAGACAAGAAATTGATCGCATGGTTATTAATACAGTACATCAGTCCTGTTTTTCGATCAATGGTTAAGATTAAAAACCTTCAGAAAAATGAAACTGTTTAGTGATGGATATGATTAATTGTGACATCCACTCATTTGATAAACTCAACCCATCACTAAATATTTAAGACTTATTTGCACTTGATCTTTTATCTTTTTTGTTCACATAAAAATCTTAAAAGGACGACAACTTACTATAACTAACGTATAATTTGTGTTCACCTACTTAATAATTGTAGAGTATAAACTTTTTGAATTTTGTTTTTTTTTAAAAGGACGAAACCTCAAGCGTTCATCATGAAGGTGCATAACTTTGTAATTATATATGATGAAAATCATTTCCACTTTTGGTTCCTTTGATTGATTAATAAACAGTAACCATCATATTTATTTAGAGGTGGGTAATGTAAAATTCCATTGACTAAGTTGCAGCATTAGTTATTAATCTAAATGACATTTTATTAGCCTTTTCCGTACTTTTTAATATTTTTTTGTATTTATCTTAATCTCAATAAAAATGAAAACACAAACGTGTGGAATATGTTCTCTCTAACATTCTTCAATGTAGTTCAAGTACTAATAGGGAAAAGTGATTATCCATAAATCTAATTATATATTGTTAATAAACACTAAACAAACAAATTAGTTTTAACAATTTAAATCAAGATAATTTACCGCCATTTACTCACTAATTTAAAACAAGAGTTTACATGTAGGATAATTAAAAAAAATGTATATAATACTTCCTTAACAGCAATAAATCATAATCTATTTAATTGAATTGAAGTAACTCCCAGTTCTGTCAATTAACTTATTCGTGAAACAGTTGCTTTTTAATTTACTTCAAATAAAGTCATGTAAAAATTCAATTAATATGCCGATTTGTATTACAGTTGTTATTAGCATCACGAAAACGACAATAAATCATAAACTATGTAAACTGCATAATCGAATAGATTGTTTTTATGTATTCTTATTGGCATGTTCGTCAGTAATTAATTGTACGACTAACTCCAGATTGAATCCTAATAACGTAACCGACATTCTAATTGTATATAATCATTCAATTTAAGTATCTCATCAATAAATTCTTTGTTTACATCAAAACAATATTATTCAAATTGACACAAATAGATATCTCGCCAAACCCAGCTTGGTTTGATCAAATAGATGGTGATGTAAATTAATATTTTGGATTCACAGTAACATAATGGGTGATATTTTATTCAATTAATTCGTTTGTTAAACGATACTCATTGAAGTATACTGAAATTCTTTTTAACTCTACTGCTAACACTTTCCTCTAATTCACAGAAATAGTTGGATACCTCTTAGTATTGGTTTGTGATTTTTCGCTGATGATATTTAGAAGCGTAAAGGATTAATCTTTGTTGTTATATGTACTTCTTGGCTTTTTAATTATGTGGTATTAATGTATTTGGATTTCGACCAGCTGGAGGATTCAGAACGTCAAAATCCGTTTATTTATGTCTTGTCAGTTGGATATAATTGCAATTCCTGGTCAGTGTTAACACTGAAACTAGTAACTGCTATTCCGGATGCAAACGCTTAATCTACTCAGCAGGTGTGTTCAGGCAGACAATACTTTATTCACCGAGCATGAAATCATTCGGAAAGCTAATATTCAAAATTAACTGGAAAATTTTAATTTAGAGGTGATATCAAGGGATCCCAGTGCGATGTAGATATCTTAGTAAACAATGATTCCTAAGATCTTGAATATCAACAACTTCGCACTCAGTAGCTCAGTGGACAATGAGTTAGCATTTAAAGCGAAATGTACTAGGTTCTGGTCATAATATGAATATCCACCTAATATATTTTTATGTCCATTCGCCATACAATCGAATTATATTATTTTGAAACATCAGAACAGTAGTTATATAGCCATATAAACCAAACTTTTATTTCGTACAAAAATGTTTTGATAGGTTTAGCATATGGGTGGAAAAAATAAAAAAGGGTAATAATGAGATTGAAATTTAAGATGCTGCTAAATGACAATCGTAAAATTTGACACTAGATTATAGAAATTTAAGGAGGTCGTTAAATGTATTCAGGGAAAAACTAATTATATTAGTTCAAAGATCTAAAGATAATTTTTATCAATAAGATTACTGTTTTTGAGATTACATTACAAAGAATTGAATCAACTTGATGTCAGAAATTCCAGACGAGTAAGTTATATTATTAGGAATTTATTCGTTAAATATTCTACTTTTGCCTAGAACAGATCAGATGAGAAAGGTTATTCATATTGATTTATAAATAAATTTATTTGAAGGAAATTATAACATCTTGTAAACCATTAATCTCAAAGAATAGCTAACTTGTATGACCGCCTTCATCATGCTAAGTTATTTTAGATAATGGTCGAAATTTGATGTTTAGGAATAAAATAACATTATCCTTTTGAGGTATCTTGCTACTTGGCTTTTAGGCTTTCAGATATTTTTAGATGTTCTCGTAAACTTATTGATGTCATGATTTCACAGTTAACTAGATTCATTTTTGTATATTTGGTGTCTTCAGTTTTTTATTCTTTTAACATAAATTAAATACAACAAGTTAATAACAATCATTTGAACAATCCATTTTGGATGTCCTGATGGGAATATCAACCCTGGAATCCAGATAAATCCAGGTGGTGTGTCCCAAGCGTTATGAAACACGCGTCTTAGATCCTATTGCTAATCGCTGTTTAAACTTAATTAAATTTGTGAATAAATGGCTTTATCTAGACAATCCGCAGAGAATGCATGTGTGATACAAAAAGTTTGATCAATTTTAGTGCTTAGTATAAACAGTGGGATGATGCAAGCATACAGAATAAATTTATCTTACATTTGTGAAAATAAACGATAGACGATTTTTTTGAAAGCGTTTTGAAATAAAGGGAATTGTTTTTATGTTATCATGATTAATTAATTTATAGTTGACTGAATAAGTGAAAATCTAAAAAGTTGTTAAAAACATGAACAAATATTTATGCGAACCATATACGACTTTTTCATTCATTGAAATTAATCAATTACTAGTTTAACATGACGTTTATCGACGGAGCATACATTTAATTGGTGACATGGTATTCATAAGATAAACGTATTTTGAAATAAGATACATAGATATTACTGACAAAGATATTACTGATGAGTTATTTCTTAGTGTTATAAATGCAAACACGCAATATTTACAGTAGTTTACTATGTATTATCCTTAACAATTTTACAATTACCGATTGTGTGAAAGAGTGATAATATATTTGATTGTCTAAGGAAATTAGTGAAACCGTCAGCAAACCTGTGACTATTCAGTTATAACTCAATTTCAAAATGTTGTTTAAGCAAGATCTTTATAGGTCTCGTATATATATAGTGAATAATCCGTAAATTAACATCTTTCAGGTGCTGGAGGTTTAGCTGTTCATTAGTCGACTCATTTGATATTTTACAATAATCCATCTGTTTGAAACTAACTTTGTATAAATAAAATGTCAAGGACGTACGTAAAACTTTTTTATAATTCATTGTGAAAGTTGTAATCATTTCAAACCCTTATTTGTGAACGGAAGTAAAAAATATCGGTCTAGAATAAAGCATTTTATAATTTTCTGTTTCATATTTTTTTCTGTTTAAGTTTTGACACCTAGAAAAGTGGGGGTTTTGTATTGGTCGAAGCGGCGGTATGACTTTATCTAAAGATTTCCCAGTAAAATGTAAAATATGCAGCCAAAGGAATGACGTAACACAGGAAAACGACATTTTTCAGTTGCGTCAGAATTTCAATAATAATTTTGCGCAACAGTTGCTACATCGAGTCATAGTTATAGTTATCAAAGTCTAAAATGAAGTTGACACTTGAGAATTTTCTAAAATTGAAATTTCCACATGTGTGAGATTTACGGTTACAAGTAGCAGCATTGTAACCTAGTTGTGATAGAAGAGAATGTGAGATTTGTTGTTTACAGAATCTCGAACCGCGAAAGGTTATTCATGTATTTTTGAGCCTTAGCATTAGACCTTAAAAGTTTCATATTTTGACTTCATTACTTTTTCAGTATGGTTGCGAATTCTTTGGACTATCAAATCAATGTCACTTTCATTATAATTTTATTACTTTTCTTTTTTACAGACTGTACTAAAAGCTGATCACTTTGAGATTGATTTTTGAATATTTAGGCGCACATTAAAATAGCTCTCACGTTGTCGTTGTACGGAAAAATATATTCTTGTTTTGTAGATCAATTTTTTCAAATTTTAGCTTATGCCTAATAATAACCAAAAGGCTTTTAAAAAACAATTCTTTATGGAAGCAGTGTTACTTACCTTGCTGTGTGGCTACAAAAACATTATCTTTAGGTACAAATTGGATAATAGGTTCTAACTGGTAAGATGATAGAGTTCCACTTTGACCTAGGACTTCATTAGCTGCTTGAACACCATTTTCAAACGCTTTCTCAGTGTCGCGGTCTTCATCAGTAAGGATAACTCCTGAAAGTACAAAAATGTCTGGTTATCAAATAGTTTACAAACGATTAACTTATAAACATATTATAATTCCTAAGTCGTTTAAAATCTGTGCATTAGAAAATGTAAATGACCCATTTGAACCAAATACATTTGTGTAAGGATAAAAAGTCAAATATATTGGTGAGTAACGTAATAAACACTGAAGTTATGTCTAAGATCTAGGTGAAACTGTGGGGAACGAACTAAACAGGTTTATAGACAGACTATATAATTCAATGAAACATGATGGCTTTCTGCATAATCCTTGTCAGTTTCAAAGATTTATACATATAAGATTTTAATGTTGCGTCCAAAATATATTTTATGAGTTTTTGAACAGTAAAAATGTCAAAAGGCGGTAAGGACATGGACGGTAAGAGCTGACGTCTTACATGTTCTAAAACAAGCAGTTCTACAAGACGTGTACCGAATTATAGAAGCATCTGTAATCAATCCGGGTACGTTTAACAACGAAAGTAAACCTATAGTGATGCGATACTTTTAACATCAAAATCTATGGGTAAGAGAGCTGTTATTTAAAGAAGTTACATTTAATGAATATCTCCACGCGTATAAAATTTACAAAGAAAAATTATTTTGAAACATTCATGAATTATCCTATCCATGTTACTCCGTTTTGAAGATACGAAAACTTTCAACTCTGACAATGACATTACTCGCTTGTAAAATCTTTGTAAATTTTAATTACAGTTTTATTCACTGTATATGTTCATCCTTACCACCTGATTACTTGTTGTCTATAGATGACATAGTTTTTCAAGACCCTGATGTTAGTCATTATGCAGTGGCTTTATCCATCAAGCGATGTCACAGATTAGGTGCTAATGATCTTTTCGTTGATGCTTTATTTGTGTAAGCTACTTATTATTCGAAAGCCGAGGTATTCATTTTGTTGAAAAGTTCTGTGTATTATATCCAAACACCATTAGACTACTGATTTTAAATATAAAAATTTATTAGTGTTTCAATAAGTTTACCAGTCTGTAGGATCTAACCTTGATTTCACGTTTAATCGTTAAATGTTTAATTCAATCCTGATGGATTTACCTCACCAATGACGAGTATCTGAGAGTATTGATAATCAGTAATATAGACCAGGAAGGGGCCAATCATAGTCTCTCTGATAACTGCTAAGCACTACAGACCTAGGATAATGGCTTCATGTCAATCAGTTTTGAGAATATGAAGCCAAAAATCTGCTTCAAGATAGAGAGTTGCTTAGTTTGATGGGGATGTTGCAAACGTTATTTGGTGAACTTCAGTTGAAAACACATCACATTGACAACAACGGAGTGTATATTATATATATTTGACAGTTATCTTCAAATTGTACCTCATTGTGATTAAATGAAGATTTTTCAGAGTCTGTATATCATTAAATAAGGACATTGAATGGATTGATTAATGGTATGGAACAAAAGTAAAACTTCGAAAAACTCCAAAAATCTCAACGTAGTTTGGCTGTAAGCCTGTCTTAACATGAAACAAAAATCTAGTAACCTTATAAATTAATCTTAAACTGACAACAAAATATTGATGAGGTTTTAACACTATTAAATGTCAAGTTTTTCAGTAAGTCAGTGAATCAATTTTTCTTATTGTTTCCTTCTTTCATTTTTATTATTCTGCCTAAATTCTTCTAAGATTATTGTATACAGTTATGTACATATACAATATGGATGGTTTTTAACATTGAATTTTATCTCGATATACATTTATTCTATGCACTTCATTTGTTTGACCTTTAAATTATTTCTAATATTAAATGGAAAATCCTGTATCTACATTAACAAAAACGATGTAGTTGTACTATATCCAATACTGTTCATCATAAAGAAAATTTCGAGTGTATGTATGTGTACTTTTCACAAATTGTAAGGAGAAACTACATTCTTTTCTATAAAACTAAATGATACTTTTCAGGTGTTGGACAAAGACAAGAGTTCGTGTTTTCCATTGGGTTATACGTGGTTACTGAAAGTAAAAGTTCTACCAGATTTATTCTGTAATGTTTTTTTGGGATGGAAATACCATAGACGGTAGAATGTTACACCTTAATCTTCACTGGTTGCTCAATTCTCTAAATTTTCTTACCGTTTGTCTTCAATCATCTACAAATAAACATAGTGAATGTGAACGTAAAGCCGCATAACATAGTCACTACAATATAGCCAGTCAGATATATAGGTCCGAACACAATTACAAACGCATAATGCTTAATAATTTAAACATAAGATATATCTACATTTTCAATTAAACCAAATTGAAACAACTTTCTGTGTAATCAATTATTTGTATATAGTTCAACAGTTAGAAATTTATTTAATAGAATAAATCACTCTGCTTTATTCTAAATAGCTTCAGGAGCAACTGATTTCATTATACCTATCGATAACGAACAGTGTTTTGCAATACAGTATTTCAAGTACGACATCTTATTGACAGTTATTATCTCAGCAGAATGTCATGTTCTAAGTAAATTTAAGAGCGATTCGCTCTTGTATTTTCATGTGATAGTAAATGTACAATAACGTATCATTTTCATAAATTATTTACTTTGTCAATAAACTTCAACTTTTTCTATTTAATTATTTATTTTTTTGTGAAATAATTATGGTTTTAGGATAGTTTTCATAGTGATCTAATATCGACCACCGAACTAATATGGTAAAAAAAAAAGCTATCGGAAAGCTGTATGAAATTGAGTGCGGTATTTCAAGTCCTTTTGGTAGGGAAGTTCTCTCAAAAACTGATACTTAATTTGTGCAATAATACGGGAATTGTATACGTGATATTATTTTGGTCAGCAAGGATATTCGTATCCCTTAGTTCCTAATTTAAGTCTTCTACACACCTTTCATCCATTTATCTATAATCGTTTCTTAGTATATTTGATCAGTGGCTTGAATTCTCATTTTTATATATTTATTTGAGCTTAAAAATGTACGAGTGAATATAAATAGAGAGAAGCTCCAATAAATAAGACATTGTTATCAGGAGTTTCCACACTTTATCAAGTATTCAGTAACGTGATGTAAAAATCAATACAAGTACATTCAGAAAAGTATAAATTTGCACGTTGAATCAGTTCAACGTATAAATATTGATCCATCTTTCGTAAACATCTCGGTAAAAAAATGTGTTAAAAATTTCTCCATACTTTGATTACTTTATTATTAAAGACCAAATGAAAAATACAATTTACTGAAATGATGATTTTCAGCTTACCGATATATATAACAGACTTAACTTCTCTTGAATATCTTGTTAAGATTGTATTGTATGGATGAGTTGATAAGTTGGACGGTAATGTACACTGTAATCCATTTACAGTAAATATGACTAATAAAAATAAATTTAACAATATCTCTATGGTGTAAATCATCTTCTGAATGTTTCTTCGTGTTCATCTAGTGTGAATAGTAAGGATTTGAGTGAACTCTAAAAATTAAACAGAAATTATGTTTGAAAAAGTTACTCTTCAATATTTTACTGAAACAATCAATTGAAAAATTACATTGTAGACTGTAATTTTAAAAGTTATTGAAACAGAAGTAAAAATGTTTATTCATTATCGAATCATTTCTAAACCTTCACGCCACATCATGATGGTTGGATTTGTTGAAAGAACAAGTCGTGAGAAAGATAAGTTTAAGTTGGAAAGAACAAACGATAATTAAAAATCAACGTTATTTGATAAATAATAAACTGAATCAGCCAATCTCATACAAATATGAATTTACTCTAGAAGCTTACCTTCATGAAAGACTGGTACTGTATTTAATAATTTTCGAAAAAAAAATTTCTTTACACTAGTAAAATATGACCGAATGAGGATACTCAATGAGCAGTTAATTTGATTTTAAAAAATAACTTCCTCTAGGACTGTGTATCTAAGTGACTGTTTATCCACACTGTTCTGTTTCTAAGGTCTTTAGAGCAGGGTTCTAAACTACCACTACTAGTTCTGAACAGCGAGTCATTCAACTATTTTAACACAAAACGATAAGCATCTCTATACATCTCGAATTCAACTGTGTAAAATATGGTTTTATTGATGGAATTACTAGTAAATTACATTATAATAGAAGTCAATTTTGACTATACTCGATAAATACTAGTCCATTTTTTCAATCACGAAATCAACTAATTATATATTCTCAGTTGGGTTTCATTGATATGCTTTAACAGCAATATAGTGGATAAAATATATTACAATATTTTTAATAAGAGGCTTAATTTTTGTTCACATTTTTACAAATAAAAATATTTCTTTTTCAGCAATTCATTCAATTGAAGGTTTAGTATAGTAATAAACAATTTTGTTTTCCAGAAAGTGATTTGTGCAACGTTCGATTTCTAAGAAAAAAATATATTTTTGGCCAACTGTACTTTTAATTTATCACTAAGATAATATTGACTCAATCTATATTTTAGAAAACCCATTTAATACAGAGTATAAATGATAAATAATTTATTAAAATCGATTTTTCCTAGTCTCCAATGTCTTTCCCTAACAAAGATCAAAAACAACATTGTTCATTTATTACCTATCGGAAAATAAAAGTGTCTACTGCTTCGGCTTTTGGTCGACAAATTACTTTTCCTCTGTCCAATTAATTTATAAACCATTTATTATTATTATTATATTTTTGCTTAGTCAATACGACAATGCCTTATCTTTAGATCAACATAATTAAAGTTAATTATAATTAGGAAAAGCATTTAGATTTCGTGGTTCCTACGAATAGAATCTTATTTAGCACAAATTTGAGTTGTCTTTTAATTTCATAACAATCAGAGAAATATTCTCAATTATATGTACTATTTATATTTTTAATCATATTCTGAATGTCAATAATGAATTCTGAACGTCCAGAATTATTTAAGTATTTATTTGGATTATCACTAGTAGAATGAGAGAATTTAGTGATGTAACATTGTGAGACGTAACATGATTTCGCTTTGTTATCTTCCACCATAAAAGCTAATTTGTTTGGATTACGGTAAGAAATAGAATACAGGACGTACATTTTCGTCCGCCTCCATACATATTATCTGGATGTACCTGGAAGATTTCTTTCATTAGCATGTCGAGGCTTGTACTCAGTCTCTCTGGTGTTCAACTCCAACTTCGTACATAGTTGGCTTTTGACTCAAAATAGCAACAGTAGAATAATACACACCTTTACAAATGCTATTTGACAATGTTTAAAAGTAATTCTTTGTGACAACATAACCGACCTATGTTATATTAGTTATGTATATACATATGCTTAACTTTAACTGTCGTCTTAGTAATGGATTATAATATTCCTAGTGGAATTAAATTAGTTTAGAGAATAGAAGATATAGTGTTGCACAAAAAACTCAACTTACTCTATTTTAATAATCATAAAACAACAAATTTATGTGGCAATGTAAGTAGTAGTTGTAGGCTACTGAGCAGAAGGGTCATAAATGGAAATGAGAGTTTACGTAATTTTTGTCTATCCGAATAAGCTATCTGGAAAGCGCTTGCAGAACTATTTACGAGCAGTGATCAGGAAACCAGAGAAAGTTACATTCCGTAAGAAGCTTCTCCTTTCAACGCTTTGTTCCGACAGGAATATACATATAAATGTCTTATCCGACAGATTACTCAAAGGGTTTACCACATTACCAATGAGCGAGCTTTAATGCTACAAGGAAAATCAGTTCTTTTCAGATTGGAAAAACGTCTTACTGGCAAGTGAAAACTAACACGAAACCTAGGTCTGTGGTATCCTACTAGTAACATAGTGTATACACTGTTGCATTTTTTGAACTCATGAGGATAATTTAATTTAGTTGATAGCATTAGAAAATGAAGACTAAATAATTACAACATTTGTTACCGCCCAGGGATCGATAGATGGAAACGAATCACGTAAATTGAGATTGCAAACAAATTTTGAATGCGAGCAGTAAACTATTTTATAAATTCTCTCGTTTCACCTACAATTATGGAAGAAACTACTTTATTAGTGCAGCACCATATAGAATCGAAATGTGTTACCTTATCAAGTGATCAAGTTAGAACTTTAATTTACATGATTTTATCAACTTTTTTAAACAAGGATACGTTGTGGTCCTCGATTTTCGGGTTATGTTGCTGACGGTTTTCAAATAACATGTGCACTTCTCATCCCGTTACTTTTAACCTATCAAATTATTAAAAATTTACATGGCTAAAAAGCTGTTTCATTCAGATTAACTGACTGATTCTTTAAGGCCGTGTTAGCTGTTTTCATTAGTTTTTCTTTCTATTCCTTTTGCTGACAAGTGAGTATGTTTCCTAATCAGACCTTTCAGTTATGGCATAAAAGCTTCTTTAAATACGAGATATTGATGGACTACATATTTACCCTTCATGAAGTTGTATGGACTCATTGTTATGTCCTGATAAGCATAATGAATGGTAACTTTCGAGATCCATTTATGGACCAATACTATGCGTATATTTTTATGATATAATTGTTAAATAACTAAACTGTTAATATTCATGTCCCTCTTATCATGAGCTTGATTTTGACCTATGAACTATTATTATACGATTTACCATTCTTGAATTATGCCCTGTGTATTAATCACTACCTCTCACATTCACAGCCACATATGGCCAAATCTTGTACAAATGTTGTTTCGTATTTTATGGTACGATGTGATCTGTCTGATTAGTAATATAAACCCCGCAATTTTGAAATAAATGGTTCATATTGCAGAGGCTGAGATTGGTGTTCTGAACTTAACCGTCTGGGTTAGGCAGGAAGCAAGGCCGATAAGTACTCTAGACTGCTCGTACGGGTTTTAGGCATCATTGGTCCTATCGATAATTCACTGCTCTATAGTGGCTGTATCATTACGTTATACATTAACAGGGCACACAGGCCATAAGTTATAACATATATCACTACTGAAGACAAAAATTAACCAATTTTTTGAATATTTAATATTATATATGTTCAAATATTTTATTTAACTGTTTTTGCAGTCCTAAAACAATGTTAATGGGTGAAAATCAATTAAGCACATTAAATAAATATGTTGTGTGTTATTGAGAAATATTTACAAAAAGTATTCGGACAAATAAAGTATGCTAATTTTTAATTATATACGTGATGAATAAGTAAATGTGGACATTAAACACTTTAATAAATCATATCT